GTTTACTTTTCATCCTTTCTCTAAATTCTCGTCTATATCTAATAATCTCTCCCTTTAACAGCAACATAGATTCTAGGTTAAGTGGATATTTGGCATTAAGCTAAGATTAAATTCAGCTCTTTTTGTCTTCTTCAAATTTCAGCTATTTATAAATGTAAAAGTAGTTTTGTTTGGATATAAGGCTGATTTGGGGTTGATAAAAATTTGCAAAAGTGAATAAATAATGTTTATAGCTTTTATTCATGTGACTCAATATTGTCATTCAATAAAAAAGATTAAAAGGCAATGTCGTTTTAGATTTTGAAAACTAGGCTTTTGAAGACTCAGTCTATATGTGGATAAAAATATTATTCATAAAGATAAATAAAAGATTATACAATTATTAAATATCGTACAGGGGTCCGAAATATGGTTTACTCATGCTTTTGGTGTATTTTGTAGGGTTGTGATTGTTTTTGGAGCTTGTAGAATCTACTGGTGTGACCCACAGGCCAGAGCACCTCAAGTTTATTTCCAGCTTCTTTGAGGGTTAATGTGTGTAATTGTATTATAGGCTGCATTGTGTAGTTGTGGTATTACATCTGAATACGAGTGATATTGTACTCATACACTTTATCAATGAAAATGTTATCTTTTTACTTGAATGATAAAGTTTAGAAATTAAACTGGTAGTATTTTAGAAATTGTTTAGTTTAGCTGAGATTTGCAATGCATTATTGTTGTTGACTATTAAATGCAACAGTAAATATAATAGAAGTTTTAATTCAAACTGCTGCCAAATTCTAAAAACTAAAGCATTTTTGTTGTAATTCTTCTTCGATATTTTACATCGGTTGTTATTGTAACCGATGTGAATTATATTCCACATGGGTTATAAACGATGTGAAATACCTTGTGATGCGTTCAAATATGAAGTTTTTCTACATAGGTTATTTTGGATCCGATGTGGTTTCTTTCACATCGGCTATAACCGATGTGAAATATCATTCAAAACGCCATTTTGGACTGTCTTTTAGATCGAGCACAGAACGACCGATGTAGAAAGAATTTTCACATCGGTTCATTGACCGATGTGAAAAGTCTCTACTTTTCACATGTGCTGGAACCACATCGGCTGTTTGACCGATGTGAAAAGCCTTTTTTGACCGATGTAGAAAGCCTTTTTTGTACTAGTGCATCGGTGATTGGCACTAGGCCAAGTGGGAGATTGTTAGTATATATGTCCTAGCGACAATCACCTTTTAGAGACATATATACTTGATCACATTCAGTTTTATATATTTGATATATACGGTATTACACATTGATGATTAAATATTTCGATTGTCAATATCTTATTCATAATTGTGTTCCCTTGGACTTATGTTGTCAATAAGTAAGTGGGAGCTTATATGATATAACACAAAGTCCTAAAATAGCCCCAATCAATGATCATCAAGAATGTGATATTGATGATATGCGATAAGATTGGTATGTGGACTGCATCATACTTTTAGAAAGTATAGTTGATCTCACAACTATGAGTTCATGTAATTTATGATGGTCACATAGATATTTTAGAGAATATTGGCATACCCACCGAGAAACCATTTGATAAGTTCTATTCATGTGTCTATGGGATTATCGGCGTATATAGTAGTGTAATAGTCCTCCGACTTGAGGTCAATACGTACTACATGTGCGGAGTGATGTACTTTGACCATGATCAACACTTGCACTCCAATCGGGGTAGATACGGCATGTGTTGGGTGCATCACGGAGCACATGGAGTAGTAGTTGAGCTAAGAAAGGATTCATTCCTCATAATAGATTAAGAGAGAACATTCTTACTTGATTGTTCGACCTCTCAACGAGAGCACCAAATGATGGATAGTGTACCCGGGGGGTATCTATCCGAGGGGTTACTGCGGGGAGTAACTTAGAGAGAAGCCAGAGCAAAAGTGAGTGAGAGAGAGAGAGAGAGATTGTATTCGATGTATTGCTTAAGTTGTATTGAGCGTGGTTTACAATGGGGAAAGGGGCTGTTATTTATAGTAGTAATAAATGCTAGACAGGGACACGTGTCAAGCATCCGACGGCCGAGGGTCACCTCAATCGGGGTGGCACTGGTACTTGCATGTGGCCGCATTAAATGTGGTGGTTGGATGCAACGTTGTACTTTGTACGGTGATCCAGGCGCATGTGGAGAGGAGATTCTGTCGAGGAAGATGCCTTCGGCTGTAGATGATAAGCCGAAGGCTATTCATACCGGGGGCCTCTCAGTGCCGAGGGCTCCAAGTGCCGAAGGCTTGACTTTCAAGCCTTTTTTCCTGTGATGTTCCTGAGTTCGATTCTGTCAACGGTAGCCTTCGGCCATGAGGCCGAAGGCACCCCTTGCGTATTGTGGGCTGCTTAGAGCTTCATCTTGTTGGGCTTGGCATGTTAGGGCCTATTGGGCCTGATCGTAGTAGTAGGAGTCTGTGGGTTGGGGGTCCCCGGCCATATACTCCATCAGGGACGGTGTTACAAATATACCTTACATCTTTCTCCAATATTTTGTGTGCAAAACATTGTTGTAGATTTCCCACGAGCCTCCACCACTATATCTTTGGCTCCACTTGTACCTTAACTCGCATTCTCTTCTTACCTTGAAAATCAAACACAAGCATCTAATGTTGAATGACATCACTCTCACCTCGGATAACCTTACAATCAATGTACGTAACTTATTCTCCGAGTAATCCATACTAAAAAGTAGTCAATTTGGGTACTATTAGCTCTACTTGTATAGGTCACAAGGTGAGAGTCTTTTTTCTTGAACCAAATGTTCATTACAGCCAACTCATATGTCGAGGCAAAATCAAGAATGTTCTTCCCTGTTTCATTTATAGAGTCAAAATTATGCCCGCCATGAATACTCTCAAAACATCATGACTTGGGCCTACATGCCTGTAGAGGTCACCTTCTATGACCACTTTCTCTCCTCTTGGCACTCATCCCACCACTTTCTCAAGATTACATGCACCACTCTTCCCAAAATCATTGAGTGATAGATGCATGATCTCACTTGTGGTACGTAGGCACTTACTACAAACATGGTCTCATCTCCTATTACCAGTTTAATATTCATGATGTGATGGTTCTTCCTAAAGACTTCTACCGCACCCTCAACACGATCACGTGTAGGCATGGACTCGGTTCGGGCCGGGCCGGGCTTCGGTCTGCTTCCGACCGGGCTTTTTTTGGAGAAGTGAGGCCCGAAACCGGCTCGAGTACCTACCGGGTTTGGTTCGGGCCAGGTTACCTGGCCGGGTAGCGGGTCGGGTATAGACCGGGTCGGGCCGGTTCGAACCGAGTAATTTTTATTTTATTTTATAATTCCTTCTTCCCTCCCCCCACACCCCAAACCCCTCCAAAACACCCAACCCAACCCATTTTACCTATTTAAGAATTTGAAAAACCAAAAAAAAAAATTGGCCCGGACCAGAACCGAACCGGCCGGGCCGGTTCACCATTATGGAGGCCCGCGAACCGCCCCTCTACAGTGCTGGGCCAGTTGGCCCAAACCGGCCAATGACCCGGGTACCGGGCCAGGCTAGGCCATAACAGTATAGGGTCGGGCCGGTTACCCGGCCCGAGTCCATCCCTAATCACGTGCCACAATATGCCCACTCCATTTATATTCCTCTTTCCCCAAATACCACAACTTCAAACCATTGGGATCAATCTCATATTTTTTTCTCCTACCCACTTAATTTCTTGCACGCACATTATGCTGAAATTCCTTCTCTTCATAGCCTCGACTAACCATGAACCGGGATGGGTCAGCCCGAACCGGGACCCGGCCCAATACTGTGCAGACCCAACCCGGCTCAGCCCGGGCCCGATCCTTCCATAGCCTCTAACTGCCTCAGATGATCTTCTAGTAAGAGAGCCAACATTCAACGTCCCAAAACGTAATCTAGCACTTTATCTTCTCTTCTTCACACCACATCGACCTCAAACATGCCCTTGCATATGACATTATCCCCAAGCAGATCTTCCAAAAATTGGGGAAGGAAGATCTGAGAGGAGGCTACGCAAGGGTGACAGATTAGCTGATGAGGTGGCTTTTTATTTTGCCATATCACTGATCCGTTTGCCACCTAGGTGTTTTAAACGCTCTAATACCCCGATGGACTCAATTAACATTGATTTGGAGGTTTCATGTACCTCAAAATCACATTTGCAAAATGATGTACTCTTTACTCCCGCGCTTACAACTTGATGTACTAAACTGACACTTTCCTCGTTTAAATATGAAAAAAAAATGTACTACTTAGTGTAACACCGACCCCGAGCATATTTACTTTTAGTAAATTATGTAATAAACCTTGAAAGATGATTTATGAATTTACGTAATTGTTAAATTTCATTATTTCTTTTACGTGAATAGTAAATTGCATGTGGGGCCCACAACGGGAACGGGGACCGCCCGATAATACCCGAACCACATATTGTATTCATCTTGGTCTAGATGACATCTATATGGTGGCGGATATTCTATTTGGGCCATAAGAAAGGCATGGAGTTGACCGGTTGGTCAAACGGGGCCCAATTACCGGTATTGGTAATTTAGCGGATAATAGCCCGAAATAAGTTTCGGAGACTCCTAAATTAAAGTTGGGGAATGTACATCTATTCTAAAGGCCCATAAGTATTAGAGACGCGTGATATAATTTATTTGGCCCGATAAAATAAAATATGATTAAAACAGTCCGAGAAATACAACTTTCGGGGCCGATTATACATACCGGGACATAACGGGATGACCTCCCACATAAGTGGGGGCCACCCCACGTTTTTAGGAGTGCTGATGGACTGAGTGATAAGAGGAGGGGAGCAAACTAATGTGCTGGTACGCACAATCAATGGGAGGAAGCCTCCTAGAGACAAAATGAACATGCTCCATGTCCCACTCTTGGCATCTCTTCTAATTGATTGAGAGGAGATGCCTCCCCCCTATCTTTTGTCATTCGGCCAGCACAAAGAAAGAGAAGCCCAAGGGAAAGCAAAGCTCTAGTTGGAGGAAGAGGGAAGCTAGGAAAATCCACAAGAAATAGCTTGAGTTTAAGGTAAGAACATAACTATTGTTCTTTAACTAGTTTTATCATGTATGATTTGTAAGAAATCATATGGTGGATTAAACATGATGTTCTACACGTTTAAAAGTGTAGAATATTGTTATAAAGTAGTGGCAATTAACTTAGAGGAGTTGGTGAATGATAAACACAATAATTACTTATGTTTTACATAAGTGATTATAATTATCTGTACAAAAATTAAAGCAAAAACAGGTAAATATTCCCGAATGAGCGGAAACATGCAATGCACCTTGGAACAGCAAAAATAGGGTCAAAAGCAAAAAGGGGTCGAAAACCGGCATTTCTGGATAAATTTCGGGCATCAAAAGAGAAAAAAGAAGCTAAGTATACATTTGGGCGCAGGAACCGGCGCCGGTCATCCTACATCCGGCGCCGGTCGTTTGAATTTTTTCCCAAAAATCGCCTGTTTCCAACCGGCGCGGAGCGACCGGTGCATTTTTGCACACGACCGGCGCCGGACATCTTACAACCGGCGCCGGATGGGGCGATTTCAGCACAAAACAGGCCAACGTGCAAGAGGATTTTTGATGGGAAAAGGTCATCTTCCTCATTTCTTGATCAAATATTGCTCCACACCTGCTTGTTGGGTTTGAATAGGCTAAAAGATGCCATTCTTTAGCCTATATAAAGCCCTCAATTCATCATACAAACACATTCCATTCCATAGATTAATTCTTAGCTTTTATATTTTTGTTCTTGGTGTTTTCTTCAAGTTCTTGAGGAGGGAAGTTCATCCTCCGAAATCATTGGTGTTTAGGTATTATTTCCTTTGTAATTTCATGTTCCATTACATTTATTATTGTATTGTGATTAATATGAGCATTAGAGGCTAATTTCTTAGCTAAGGCTAGGGATGAACTTCTATGCCCACTAGGTGTTTGATAAAAGTTCTAAACCAATAAATTGTGATTTATCCTTTATATATTGATTGTTTATGACTATGGTGTACAACATAGAAGTATGTTAAATTTAGTTTATACTTGAAATTAACGTTGAAGTCTAAACTATGAACATTAAAGGATAAACATATATAGTACCGAGAATAGAAATATATCCGGTCTTATATGATACGGGTGTGATGTCTTGATATTCAACGGGGTTTTCGGTAGATGAATGTAAGCCGTAACGGGACTTACACGTAACGAAAACCACGCTCTCGCTGCCTTAACCGGAGTTGAGAATATATTAGCGACATCGTATTCATAATTATTGGCAAAGAACTAATATTCAACCCTATTAAAGCATTTAAGTGATTCCCGAAGCCTTAGTTATTGTTATCATTCATCTTAAACTTAAAATTAGTTAACGATTATCTTCTTAAGCAAAAAGTGAAAAACCAAAAAAATATAAAACACAACTCAAAATCCCTGCACTTTACTCATTTATTTCATTTAAAGTCATCTACTCTCGGACTAAATTAAACAACGTTTCCTTGTGGATTCGACCCGGTATTTTACCGGAATTTATTACTATATCGGCACTTGTACACTTGCAAGTTTAGCCCGATCAAGTTTTTGGCACCGTTGCCGGGGAAACGGTCTTGTTTAATAAAGTCCAAACAATCAAAAAAAAAAATCAATCAATCAAAAATCCTGAATTTTTCATTTCACATTGCTTTTCACTTGTTCTTGTGGTATTTTTTTTTATTTCATGTGTGTAGCCTATGCTTTGTGTTTGAATGCAATTGAGAAGTCAAGGTTCTAAACATCTTGAACCTATTGATCTTGAAATAGAAAGAACTTTCAAACACAACCGGAGGGAAAGAAAAGAAGCAAAGATGATGCCAACACTCAACGAAAGGAAGAGGCCCGTGGTTGCCCGTGGATGAAGCAACAACTGAAGGACTATGGAATTCAAGCAAAGGAGATCAAGCTGTTGTGTGACAACACTAGTGCCATTGCTATCTCTCAGAATCCAGTTCTTCATTCCAGGACAAAGCACATTGAGATCAGACATCACTTCATCAGAGATCATGTTGAGAAGAAGCACATCTGTATGGAGCACGTATCTACAGAAGACCAGCTTGCAGACATCCTAACCAAGCCTTTACCTGAGGCAAGGTTTAACAAGCTAAGGGAAGAACTGGGAATGATGGATGATCTTCCCAGATATGCCTAAATCAGAGACTCACTGAGCCAGAACTGCCTTCTTCTGCACCAGAAACTCAGATCAGAGAATCTCTATCTCTGTTCATCAGGAACTCAGATCAGAGAATCTCTATCTCTGTTCATCAGGAACTCAGATCAGAGAACCCCATCTCTGTTCATCAGAATCTCACACCAGAGAAACCCCCCCTTCTCTGACCAGAGATCCCTATCAGAGAGACAGCAGATACAGATGTGGACTTAGCAATATTTCGAGGTACGGGCAAGACCTAATTAACTGAAACGGTCTTTTACCAGAATACCCCTGATCGTTACTCTTCTAACGGAAACGTTTTCCGCCCGCATTTCATTAAATGTTACCTCGAAACTGCCAATATCTCAAACGTCCACTATTCTAAACCCTTTATATCCACCGTCTTCAACCTAAATCCCTACTGCTTCCTTATCTCACTTAAACTGCTCTAGCATTCAAAGTCTTCAGATCCTCTAAACCTTTCAATCCCAGAGCTTTTCGTAACTCTTCACTCAGAATGAACTTCCTAAGCATCAATGATCTCTCTAAGGAAGAAGCTAAGACCCTCATCGCCAACATTGTCTCCGGCATGAAGGTCGACATGTCATCTCTTCCACTACTGGCAGAAAATCAAAAGAGGATGACCAAGATCATCCAGGGGATGACTGACTCACAACTCTCAAAGGTTGTTGCTCATCCCTACGAGCATTTCAACATCAAAGATGTGGCTGAGTTCTACCTCAACTCCACCATCTCCAAGACTGGTATTCACTCCCAGGTGCAGGGTCAACGCATTTTTCTGAATGCAGATGCTCTAAACGAGTTCTTTGGAGTACAACTAGACTCCCAAGACCCGGAAGCCAACAATCTTCTCACTCTTGATTCAGCGGAAGTCTCCACTGAAGGATTTGTACAGACTTACTGTCGCCCGGAGGCTGCCGGACTGGACAAGCTGTACATGAAAAAATTCCTGCTGAAGAAGGACTATGAGAAACTTGTCGGCATTCTGCACCGGTGCTTGTGGTGCAAAACTGCTTCAACAGACGAGATGAACAAGAACAATGCCAAGGCGATCTTTGCAGTTCACCATGGCATGAACATCAACTGGGGCGAGGTAATATTTGGCTCCCTGACTGAATTCATCAAGAAGAAAGACTCTGAAACAGGTCTATTCTCTACTAAAATGGGACATGGACTTCTCATTTCTGCCATTCTTGCTGCCAAAGGAGTTCAACTCAGGGATACCCTTCTAGTTGATCACTCCAAAACAATCTTCCTCACAGCCTCTCCAAAGTTCAACATAGCCATCTCCTCTGAGCTAAGGAGAGAGGAAAGGCTAGAAAAGAAGAGAGAGGAACATGCTGCTAAGTCTAAACCTGCTCCTAAGAAAGCTCCCAAGAAGCCCAGTGAGACTTCAAAACAACCTGAGCAGTCACAGGCTGTAAGGGAAGTCAGGAAGAAGAAGAAGAGTGACAATCTGCCAATACCAGAGAAGAATGCAACAGAAAAGGTTGCATCAGAGTTGCCCTCCCCAAAGGCCACCAGAAAATCTCCTGCCAGAAAGCTGAAGCAGAAGAGAAGAGGAAAGCTAGTTGTACAGAGTGGTGACTCTGACAACTCTAGCTCTCATCCAAAACAGAAGAAGAGAAAAACAAAGGTAATCTCACCTGTCAAGGGATCAGAGGTTCAGGGGGAACCTGAACCAGAATCTGGAACTCAACCAGAGGCTGAACAAGAATCTGCACCAGAGTTGCCAAGTTCTGCTCTCTCACCAGAACATGAAGCCTCACCAGAGATGGAACCAGAGACTGACTACAACATCATTCTGCAGAGGCAGTTTGATAGAATCCTAGCATGGAGAAGATGGAGAATGGGACCTCTCCAGAAAATAATTCAATTCTTTGATGCCTATGAGGAAGAAGAAGCTGCTGTTCTTCACTGGGTAGGCACAGAAGATGTGTCACAAAATGCTTCAACCTTGCCTTTCTCATCTCTGTCCTACAGAAAAAGAAGGAAAAATATCAAGGTAAAGCCCCAACAACTGAACTATCTCCTGAAAGGCATGTCAAAGCCTTGGAAGAAGAAGAAATGAAAGAATTTGATGCATGGCTGATGGAGAAAAAGAGAAAAGAATCTCTGATCAAATTTCGCCACAGTGCCCTTGAGGAAGGAGAACCCTCCACAGCAAATGACATTGCTCTAACCATGGAGAAACTGATTAAGGAATGGAGAGAATCCATGTTCTCAGAAATAATTCTTGAGGTAATCCCTACACCTCCTCCTTCCCCTCCCAAATCTCCTGTTAATCAACCATCACCTTCCAAATCCCCCTCTATACCTTCATCTCCACCCCAACAGAAAACCCCTTCACCGGACCAGAAAACCTCAACCTCCACCAGAACTCCATCTCACCAGAAACCCAACTCCAGACCCTCTTCACCTTGCAAACAACCCTCAAACACCAGAAATCGATCACCTTCACCCCCACCATCCCCCTCACACCAACCTATTCCTCAACCAATAATCCCTTTTCCCCAGAATTCACCTCCTCAAAAATCCTTACCACCCTCCAGATCTGCCTCACCACAGAGATCATCACACCACTCTGCAGCCTCTACACCAAAGAAGAAACCAATCTTCAGAGTCCCCTCTTCAGACAGTGACAATGATGGTTTCCTCACCTCCTCCATTGCAGCTGATGAAACATCCAAAAGGAGAAGGACACCTCCAAGAGTTCCTTCCCCTGCACCATCCACCAGAGCTCCTCCATTACCCAAGGGCAGAGGATTGGAGATGCCAGGGTTTACACCTGAAGAACCCCAAATTCCCTTCAACCAGTTTGTGAAATCTGCAGAACAATTTGGTGGTCTGTTGGTTCATGATCTAAGCAAGATCATTGAGCTAAATGACAAGCATCATGAAGAGCTAACCCATACCAATCTTCAAATCACAATTGGATTCCAGCATTTGACAGACAAAGTTGCTGCACTGTCAGAAACTCTGCACAACTTCATGCATTCATCTACCCTGAGAATAGATTTTGTCTCTAGAGATGTCAGTGGTCTCAACTCTGATCTCCACTCTCACTCTCAAGCTCTACTTGCCCAGCACCAGACAATCAACCAGATCTCAGATTCTGTTAATAATATTCAGAAATCTGCTGATAGCTCATCACAGAAACTCACAGTCTTACACTCCCTCTGCAAGGAGCATCAAGAGCAAGGCTTAGCTCTCATCAAGTCTGACAAGGAAAGATACCAGAAGATGGTTCTTCTAGAGGTCCGCAACGGAGCCTGATTGAAGGTCTTGCTTCTGTGACTCAAACCCTGCCAGAGACCCTTGATGAGATCAGAGATGCCCAAGCCTCTGAGTTCTCAAAGATTGAGCTCCTCCTTGGCGATCTTTGTGATGCCAAAAAGGGGGAAGATACCAGAGAAGAGGAAGGACCTAGCTCCAGAGCTCTATCTATCAGAGAACCCTCCTCTACTGTTGATCCTCCTCCATACTTTGATGCAACCAGAAAGAAGAGACTAGCTGCTGCAGGTACCAGACCTCCACCTCCTCCTCCAAGAAGCTCAAAGAAAAAGACCTCCTTATTTTCATTCAATGATTGGATGAAGAGCGGTCTGTCAAGACCAGACAGAGTTCAGTTTGAACAAATGAGGAAGCTGAT